AATATAAATTATTTATCATAAATTAAAAATATAATTTATTTTAAATATAATTTATATATTTAAATGTAATTTTTTTTATATATAATTTAGTATAAATTTTAATTATATTATATGTAATAAACATGCTTATATTTATATTGTAGATGCTAATTCTAGTTATATATAAGTCCATATAGATTCCTTATAATACACTTGTCATTGTCAATAAATTAAAGGTGACTTTTTTTTTATTGAGTAGCTAAATTAAAAGCTATGAGAAGTGTGTCCCTACATTTTCCAGTAATTTTTTTCCCCTTTTTTATTCTTTAACCAATATCAACATTTATAACTTGATCCATTAAAAAATACTAGAATTATATTTTCTATTATACTCTCTTTATTACTTAATCTTGACTAAAACTACATAAAATTGTGTCAATTGCACAATTTATATAATATCAACAATAAAAAAAATAATAAAAAAATTACTTAAAAGATTGTGGTAGACTGAGAGCATTTATAGCACTCCAGATTCAAATCATGTGATGCACGTAGTTGCACAACGAAGGTAACTCTTTCTCCTTACAAGTAGATTTAGAAGTTGACGTGATTTTTTTTTTTAAACTACACCTGATAAATACATAAAAAAAAAATATATTTGAGTGTATAAGAAATAGAAATATTATAAATAAAAAAGTGTGAAATAAAGAAAAAAGACAGTTGTAATAAAATAAAAAGGTAAAAAAAAAAAATGTTTGAGTAATTTAGAAAGTGGAAGTTGAGGTGATGTGAAGAAGTGAGAAGTGTAGAAAGCAGCCAGCGAAGGAGCTACATACCAAACTCGTGAGCTGTACACTACAGACTCTCTCACTCACTGACGGTGGTCCTAAATCCTAATCACTAATCACGCTTCTCTCTCTGCATCTGCACCACCATAATTAATCTAATTAAATTATCGGATACAGCTCACCCCTACCATACTCCTGCTTCTGCCGCAAGATTTCCATTCTCAACCCCAATTACGTCATTTTATTTTCCATTTTCCCTACGTGAAATTAAATTAAATTAAATTAAATTCTTGCTCAATTGCATCAACACTGTGTGAAAAGCTCGCCCTTTTTGGAGCTTCTGCTACACCTTTCTTTTTAAGAAGCACTTAATTCCGAATATATCTTAGCCCACTCAACCACCATTGCTACTGCCACTCTCACACCCTTCTCTCATTGCTCACTCCCATTTCTTTCTCTCCGGTAAGACCATTTTGCCCTTTCCGCTTCAGTCCTTCGATGCTCCTTGTTCTTTACTTGATTCCTTGTTTCTTTCTAGAAATTTTTTCTCATTATTCTTACTGCAATACTAATACAACTTCTGTTGCTTAATTTGTTCCTCTTCCACGTCGTTTTGTTTCCATTCGATTACTCGTCATTGCCGCGGTTTTTCTTAATCTATTAGTTTTTACTCGTCATTGCCGCGGTTTTTCTTAATCTATTAGTTTTTGTTTTTGTCAGTGTGTGTTCGTGTTCCTAGCGCTTCCAATTCAATTGTTGCGGTTAATGTTTATATATCTTCATTGTTTCTAAATTAGGAAGAAAAGAACGAAGTCGGAAACTGTTCAATTCGTTTCTGAAAAATTGATACGATTTTTCCTCGGATTATGTGTTTTTGTATTTCTTAAAAATCTGGATTAATTTGGATCTCATTTTGAGCCGCGAAGACGATTGATTATTGATATTCATGTCTGAGGTCGAATGCGTGAATCAAAACGGTATTTTATTTATTTATTCAGTTCAATTAGTGTTCTTGAATTCGAGTTTGTTTCAGGATTTTTTTCAGTGAAAAAAGAATTGACAATTGAGTCTAATTTTGTAATTATTTTTTATTTTTCAATTTTCTGAAGAGAAATGAGTTTGTGTTGGGGTGTACGGTTGTGTGATATCATGAGATGAGAATCACGCAAGAGCAATGGTTAGATCTTGGAGATCGCAAGGAGTAAGCATCATTGGGTGATGTTGGCAACTGTGGGTCACTGTTCAAATGAGTGCATCAGCAGCACAAATATAGTAACTGGAGTCAATCAGGGTTCCCAAAATGGGTGCCAAATTGTGAGCAATCTACAATTTGGCTCTGTTTGCTTTTGGTGTTGTGTGGTTTCTATTGCCACCGACACTACCGAGGAGTCAAGTGCATATAGCCATTTACTTTTTAGTGTGTTGAAAACGGAAGCCACTTGTGTGAGTGATGATATCGCGATGGATGGGGTGATGGCTTTTTGTGAAACGGTGGGATAGTTGAGTATCCAGTTTGAATTACTTTGTTGTGTAATAATAATAGCGTGTGTAAAATTCAGCAGTATCCACCGGTTAAAAAAGAGAGAAAGAGAGAGAAGAAAAGTTCCTTTTAATTTTAACTGTTTTCCGATTACAGGGTGTCCGTACTTTTCAATGGACCGACGCTGGCCATGGAAAAAAAAATCATCGGACAAGGCTGTGCTTGAGAAAGCGGCTGCGGAATTGGACTCTGCTGCGGGTGCTTCCACTCAGGTTAATCAGGTATGTATTTATTGTCGTTTCGCTAAAGCTAAGAACTAGTTTCATATTGAAAAAGGTAAAAAAATAGTTTCTAACATTTGTGCTACTGCAGGAAATTTTCCTATAATTTTTTTTCTTCACCTTCTTGACTTTCACATGATAATTAAAAGTTTTAACAAGAGCAAAATTTCCATATTGGTCCCCCCACCCCCCTCCAAAAAAAAAAAAGAAGGTAGGGGACAATTTGATCCCTAGAAAAAAAAATCATTTAGTCCTTCAAGATTATACATGGGATGCTCTAGTCCTTTTGTCCATTTGAGTTAACTTTTGCAAGGACCAATTTGGGTCATTGATTATTTTGTCAAGGACTAAATTAGTACATGATTAACTTCTTTAGGACTAGCCATATATGCTAACCATGGAGAGAGAATGACCCAAAAACTGGTGTGTCCCACGTTTGTAATCTTGAAGGATTAAATGAATATTATTAATTTTTTTCTAAGGACTAATTTTCAACTGTAACTTTTTTCAGAGGCTCAATTTGGACCTTATATTCTTTTTAACTATTATTTGTGTTTTTAATTTTTATTTATTTTTGCACACTTTACATAAGATCTTTTTTGTTTTTGTTTTTGGGTTAACAAGAAGCCGAGCTACGTCCAAATCTCCGTAGAGTCATATTCCCATCTGACTGGTTTAGAGGATCAAGTGAAGACATATGAAGAAAAAGTTCAGACACTGGAGGATGAGATCAAGGAATTAAATGAAAAACTGTCAGCAGCAAATTCAGAGATAAATACTAAGGAAAGCTTGGTAAAACAGCATGCTAAAGTAGCAGAAGAGGCTGTCTCAGGTACTGCTTTAATGGTTCCTATTTAAAGATATTCAAAGATGAAAGTCTTCGTTAATATAAAGTGCTTCTTATTGTTCTTGGAATTAAAATTATATTAATACTCCACAGGTTGGGAAAAGGCCGAAGCAGAAGCTTTGGCATTGAAGAACCATCTGGAAACTGTAACTCTTTCAAAACTCACTGCTGAGGACCAGGCATCGCAGTTAGATGGTGCTCTTAAAGAGTGTATGCGACAGATAAGAAACCTGAAGGAAGAACATGAACAGAAAATACAGGAAGTTGCTCTCACAAAAAACAAGCAATTGGACAAGATTAAGGGTGAGTTTGAGGCTAAGATTCACAACTTTGAACAGGAACTCCTCAGGTCTGCTGCTGACAATGCAGCTCTGTCAAGGTCATTGCAAGAGCGCTCTAATATGATAGTCAATTTAAGTGAAGAAAAAGCTCATGCGGAGGCTGAAATTGAGCTTCTTAAGGGCAACATTGAATCATGTGAAAGAGAAATCAATTCACTCAAATATGAGCTTCATGTTATTTCCAAAGAGCTTGAGATTCGCAATGAAGAGAAGAACATGAGTATGAGGTCCGCGGAAGTTGCTAACAAGCAGCATATAGAGGGTGTTAAAAAAATTGCCAAATTAGAGGCTGAGTGCCAAAGATTACGTGGTCTAGTGCGGAAAAAGTTACCTGGTCCAGCTGCACTTGCACAAATGAAGCTAGAAGTTGAAAGTCTTGGTCGAGAATATGGAGACACTCGATTAAGGAAGTCTCCTGTCAAACCTGCTAGTCCTCACCTGTCCCCATTGCCTGGTTTCTCCCTAGATAATGCACAGAAGTTCCACAAAGATAATGAATTCCTTACAGAGCGTTTATTGGCAATGGAAGAAGAAACAAAGATGCTCAAAGAAGCTTTGGCAAAACGTAACAGTGAATTGCAGGCTTCAAGGAGTATGTGTGCTAAAACTTTGAGCAAACTTCAAGTTTTGGAAGCACAAGTTCAGATGGGTAATCAGCAGAAGGGATCTCCTAAATCAATCATCCATGTAAACCATGAAAACATATACAGTCAAAATGTCAGCAATGCACCAAGCTTGATCTCCATGTCTGAAGATGGAAATGATGATGTGGTAAGTTGTGCCGAGTCTTGGTCTACAGCAATACTCTCTGAGCTATCCCAATTCCCTAAAGAAAGGAATACTGAGGAATTAAGTAAATCTGATGCCACTAAGAAGTTGGAACTAATGGATGACTTTCTGGAGGTGGAGAAATTGGCCCGATTATCAAATGATTCCTGTGGAGTTTCATTTACTTCAAACAATATAACAAATGAAACTGTGACCAATGATGTATCAGAAGTCAGTACAGTGGAAGATGTTCCCTCTAACCCCAAAGAGAATAGTGATCCAAATCCATTGCCAAGTGAGGTGTCTTCTGCTGAAGAATTGTCATCACCTGATCCCCAATCTGATGTTCGTGGCTTGTCACTTGCAGAGCTTCAATCAAGGATATCATCAGTGTTTGAGTCCATGGCGAAGGATGCTGATATGGAGAAGATCCTGAATGATATCAAACACATTCTTAAAGAGGCATGTGACACTTCCATCCAGGACTCTCTATCTGCCATTCCCCGTGATGACAAACCTTCTGATATTACATGTGATAACCAGGGTAATACTGAAGATGCTGGCTTAAATGCTGAAAAAGATATAATTTCATCCCAGCAAACTACAGAATATGTGCAGATAACTTTGGATTTAGAAGCTGCAATTTCCCAAATTCATGACTTTGTCTTGTTCCTAACCAAAGAAGCAATGACAGCACATGATATATCTTCTGATGGAGATGGAATAAGCCAAAAGATGGAGGAGTTATCTGTTACTTTTAATAAAGTTACATCCAATGAAGCAAGTTTGCTACAGTTTGTTGTAGACCTGTCTAATGTTCTAGCCAAGGCAAGTGAATTCAGATTCAATATCCTTGGTTATAAGGGTACGGAAGCTGAAAGCAATAGTCCTGATTGCATTGATAAGATTGCTCTGCCTGAAAATAAATTAGTTCAAGACGATTCATCAGGAGAGAGATATCAAAATGGTCATTCCCATATTCTTAATCCCTGTTCTGATCCTGAGGTTCCCGATGATGGAAATTTGGCCTCGGGCTATGAAACAAATGGGACGTCACAGAAGTTCTCAATGGAGGACTTTGAAGAATTGAAATTAGAGAAAGAGAAGGCAGTCGCTGATCTGTCAAAGTGTGCTGAAAATCTTGAAATTACGAAGTCTCGGTTACTGGAGACAGAGCAACATCTAGCTGAAGTTAAATCACAATTGGCTTCTGCTCAAAGATCAAACAGCCTGGCTGAAACGCAATTAAAATGTATGACAGAATCGTACAGGTCAATTGAAACACGTGCAAAGGAGTTTGAAACTGAGCTTAATCATCTGCGCATGAAGACCGAAACTCTGGAGAATGAACTTGAAGATGAAAAGAGGGTTCATGAAGAAGCTTTGGCCAAGTACAGGGAGCTAGAAGAACAATTACAAAGGTTAGACACATTCAATATCTTACTGTTTATATATACTGAAATTACACATTCTACATAGTGCAGCCCTACACGTAGGCTTTTTATCACAGCATTTGTGTTTTGTTTATGTCAGTTTGAGTAAGAAGATATAGGATAACGGTAGCATTGCATATATTTAATTTTCTTTCCAACAACTAGGGACACGTTTTCAAATATTTTATGTTAATCTCTGGTGCTGGATGTATTTCTAATTCCTAATTTCCCATTTGTCTTGTTAGGAATGAAAACTCAGCTGCTGATAATGACATCAAGACTAAGCAGGTAAAGCTGTAATTCCATTCAAATAGACAGACATATACACTGTTGCATTGCCAAATACATGAAAATACTATGAGTTGGAAAACATCAACATCCAGTGATAATGATATAATATGTATCTCAATTTGTGAGTCTTCGCAACGAGTTGACAATCTAAGATTGATTTTTCTTCTTCTTTATCATAGGAGAGAGACTTGGCAGCTGCTGCTGAAAAGCTAGCAGAGTGTCAGGAAACCATATTTCTTCTTGGCAAACAGTTAAAGTCTCTGCATCCTCAAACAGAGCCAATGGGATCTCCGTATTCAAAGGCTGAAGGCTTCACAGAGCTTGAACCTTACTCTAGAAGCCAAAATTTGCAAGATCAGGCTGAGATGGACAGTGCTACTTCTGCATTTGTGCAAAGACTGGGTGGGGAATCCCCCTTACATTTTGCCAACACTTTACACAGTCCACCACATAATGAGTCAAACTTTCCAGCCATATCTCCTGTACAGAATCCAAACCACAACCCTATGAAGTCAACCTCTTCTTCAGCTTCGTCCACTCCTACACCAGAAAAACACACCCGAGGTTTTAGCAGATTCTTTTCATCAAAAGGAAAAAACGGTCATTGAGCTTGCAGCATGCATGACCTTGAGATATCATGATTTAGGACCACGCTGTAACCTCCATGATTTAACAGAATTGGGTTTTTGGGAGGTTTATCGGGTGATTCTTGTATCTAATGGTTGTACATGGTAAACATATATTTTTCTTCTTTTCCTTTCCATTGTTTTATTCTCCCTGTTCTGTAATTTAATTAGCAAACATTGACATAGTCTCTGAATTATTACAGGATGCGTTGAATATGTTGTATTTCACAAATTTATGCACCATACCTTGATTCTTTACCAACGATAATGGATAAGTGATTTTATTTTCAAGCGATAATCAGTTTCAGAAACTATAAAGATTTCAGCAAATAAATAACATTAAAATTAAAACTTCCTTCCAATATATTTTCATTTAGGAATTTTATATAATAAATTTAAAATTTTATTATTTATTTAATTATATAATATAATAATACATTAATATAACAAACTGTAACGATAAAATTATAAAATTCAGTTTTAAAGTAAAATTATAAAATTCACATAAAATTAATTATTAAAAATATTTATTATTTTATGTTAAAAATTAATGTAT